ACTTTATCAATTCTTTTATTTCAGTTTTTTTTTAGTTTCAGGACTTCCAATGTGGGAACCATGTCATTAGGTTCTTAATTTGCAAAATGATACCGTTAAATCACGCTACACCATTGTCTTCCAGTTTGTGAATTTATAGCTTTCACAGTGTTACCATTTTGTTTATAATTTTACCAATCAAACCCACTGTCATTCTTGAAATTTTAAATCATAATCCATTTAAACCAGCTAAATAATTTTACCTGTGTGGCATAATTAAATCAGTGACGTTTATAAAGGCATAAAATATAAAAATGATCAACAAATGTAAGGCGTAGCGACAGTCTATCTGTCAACAGGATTGTCACTATCACACTAGCTCTGGGCCAGTCTTAGGGCCCTATTTTAACAATCTAAGTGAAAGGTCTAAAGCACACGGCACAAGTGCACTTAGGGCGTGTCCGAGATCCACTTTTGCTAGTTTAACGACGGGAAAAATAGTCGGCGCACCCGGCACATGGTCTAAAAGGGTAGTCCGTTGCCCCTATTTTGAGTAAATGTAAATAGAATTCTTAATGAGTAATGGGTGTGTTTTGGGCGTAACGTGCAATAAACCAATCAGAATCTTATCTCCCATTCCCTTTAAAAGCCAGTTGCGCTCGCGCCATGGCGGATTCGCTATTTACATGGCAGAATTCGCAAGCGGAAAAACTGAACGCTTCTCTAGCGAGGAAACGGATCTGCTCGTGTGCGAGGTTAAAGCACGCGAGCAGACCATCTACGGGACAAAGTGTACGTGTGTTGTGGACCCGCCTATATGCGCATATTACTAACGCACTCTTTAAATAACAAAAAAAAATTTGCGCCATTGACTTTAGACCAGGTTTTAGTTGGTCAATGGCGCAGTCTATTTCAGTTGCAACGCACAACAATGCGCCTGAACACACTTCGTTTTTGTGCGCCCATGGGCGCACAAATAGGCGCAAATGCATTTGCTATTTAAACAACGTGGCGCAGGTGAAAATCATAACTGCGTCGGGCTGAAACTAGCAAAAAACACTTGTGTCGCGCCGCATTGCGCAGGGTGTATGATAGGGCCCTTATTGTTGAGCCATGAAGATACCTCATTTAGGCCAAAATGTTATGTAACATCAAGCATATCCATTACAAATGGCCAAAAAAATGTTGTTGAGGTAGACAGGGTAGCTTTTGAGATAGATTCCTAGTTTTATGGGACTTTGACGAAACAACAAGTGAGAAGATATTTAAAGTTCCTCTGCAAAAATATGTTAAAAGGGAAGGTGAGAATAATGAAAAGAGCAAAAGTGCTGATTCAGGTTGGTATTTTCCTGGACGGTGGGCAGTATGAATATTAACTGTCAGAACAAGTGGGGATATCGATCCACCCTCTGCAGGGTTCAATAGAGCCGGCTCAAGGTTGGACAGGAGTGACAGAATTCAGAGGAGAGATCAGTGGTCTGTGTGAATGTGTCAAGAGTGTGTGGGTGTTTGTGGGTGAGTCATTCTACATCGAATCTCTGCCATCTTGGAGTCACTGTACCTTATCTGATGGATGGAAATGCCGTAACCTCTCTGAGATGAACTCATTCCTTATTTTAAGGTGAACAGTACTAAGAAAACACGATTTGACAATTGTCTGTGTGGATATATTTTTATATTTTACAAATCTTTCTCATAATAATGACCCAGCATATTGATGTCACAGAGTTTATCAGCTTGATCATGCGGGTTGTCTTAATGTGTTTCACTAGGGACTATTTGTTTGGACATTTTATTTTGTACATTCATTCTGTTTTGGACTTGACACATGATCCATACACCACTCTGGACTATGCTGACTGAGGCCTTCCTGCCGTGTTCTGTCTGTAGCATGAACAGTGCTGTGATTAAAAATGCAGTGTTTGGTTCACGTCAAACATACTGTAACTAAGCATATAGTATGTATAGCAAAATGGTATACTTTAGTTTGTCTGTCCATAATGCATCATATACCACAATTCTTGAGGATCATCCAGGTGCTTCTTTTTGGGTTAGTTCACCCAAAAATAAAAATGTTGTCATCATTTACTCACCCTCATGTTGATCCAAACCAGTAAGACTTTCGTTAAAGGGTTAGTTCACCCAAAAATGAAAATTCTGTCAGTAATTACTCACCCTCATGTTGTTCCAACCCCGTAAGACCTTCGTTCATCTTCGGAACACGAATTAAGATATTTTTGATGAAATCTGAGAGCTGGATCACTCCTCCATACTAGTCCATAGGCTTCTTCAGGGATTGAACTTGCCGCCCTCGAAAAGTTACTAAAGACATCGTTAAAATAGTCCAAGTGACTACAGTGGCTCAATCTTAAGTTTATCAAGCGACGAGAATACTTTTTGTGCGCAAAAAAAAACTAAAATAACGACTTTATTTCAACTATTCATTTCCTTCTCTGTGGGCTTCGAGTCAGTTCACTAGTGTAATAGCGTAAGCTTCTGTTGTTGTACGTCACACGCATCACGCACATGACCAGCGTCGGCCAATAGTGAGCCTACGTGTGACGTAGCTCTACGGAATCACACTACGTTAACTGACTAGAGGCCCAAAGAGAAGGAAATGAATAGTTGAAATAAAGTCGTTATTTTTGTTTGTTTTTGCGCACAAAAAGTATTCTCGTCGCTTGATAAACTTAAGATTGAGCCACTGTAGTCACTTGGACTATTTTAACGATGTCTTTAATAACTTTTCGAGGCCGGCAAGTTCAATCCCTGAAGAAGCCTATGGACTAGTATGGAGGAGTGATCCAGCTCTCAGATTTCATCAAAAATATCTTAATTCGTGTTCCGAAAATGAACGAAGGTCTTACGGGGTTGGAACAACATGAGGGTGAGTAAATACTGACAGAATTTTCATTTTTGGGTGAACTATCACTTTAATCTTCGGAACACAAAATCTTCATTTATGTTCCGAAGAAGAACAAAAGTCTTACTGGTTTGGAACGACATGAGGTGTAATGCTTTAAGGGCAATGACTTTTTCCACACCTGAAGATTGTGCAATTGACGTCTTAAACATTCAACTAAACTGTCTCCATTTTACCACCAGACTATCTATATATTTCTATATACATATACATTCTATATTTTGACTGCACTGACACAATGAGAACGCAACTGAGTTGGAGGATGACATCACTGTTTTCTGCAGAGCTGCATTATAGCTGAATTAAATTCATTTCAAAATTGATTGAACTGAACTGAATCAACACTGAACTGACATCAGCTGAATGGCACTTAATGGTTTTTTTAGAACAGTTTTACAGTAGAATTGAATTGTGTTTTCACCCTTGATCAATATTTTCCTGTTTATCCCTGGAAAGCTGCTTTGAAAAAATCTCTATTTTATAAAGTTCTATATAAATAAATAAATAAATAAAAGAGAAGGTATACTACCACAATCCACAGTAAAATCTGATCACATACATGTTAAAATGTGTTAAAAATCAAATCCACACACATGTGTTTGCAACACTGTATATTTTGTGTGTTGTTAATGTTTTGGATATAAACTACCATTCAAAATTTGAGGTCACTAAGATTTTAATTTATTTATTTATTTATGACAAATCAATACTTTTATTCAGCAAGGATACATCTTTTGAGCTAATGAAAAAATACATATAACGGTTTTCACAAAAAAACGAACTAAGCTGCGATTACACTAATAATTTGTTTGTAATCAGACTTGTAGCACAGTCGGACAATAATAATAGTAATAATAATTTTATAAAGTCACATGTAACCATGTCAATCAGAATGAATTGGCCAAATCTGACTGCGATTTCATTCGGATTGTAAGGGGTGGTTTAAATAATATTTTCTAATCTGTTCGATAGGACATGCACATTTGATGACATTGAAAACCTAAACTGGAAAGATCGGTCCATGTGCAATGACGTAGAATGCTAACAGTTATAGCTAATTGTAATAATATTTCACAATATTATTGTTTTACTGTATTTTTGATCAAATAAATACAGACTTGGTGAGCATCTTTGTTTCAAAAACTTCTTTCAAAAACATGAAATAAATCTTACTGACTCTTAACTTTTGAACGGTAGTTGTATGTTTATGCTTTGTAAACAGAAAGGAGCACCGCTTATAAAAAGCTAAGTGCAATACAAAGTAAACACCGTATTATTGGCAACTGGTCACATTTTGCCAACATGCCAGAGCCCATGAGGGGGACAATTTCTTTTTCTACAAGACTGATATATCACATAAGCATACATCATTTTAAGCATTGTTGTAATCTAATGATTATTTAGTTGTCATTGTGTCAAAACGATAAATTAATCAAAAATTATAATTATTACATCAGTCAATATTTGGTAACCAAAGGTATTTCTTAAAACAAAGTTGAAGGGAACATGGATTGACCCCACAAATTCATTCATTCGCTCGCAGTCCGTCTCCCTCGCACATTTACCGCCATTTCATTCAAGATTACCATATTTATGATGTTGCGATGTACTGAATCGTGAAAGTGTATCTTATCATGAAGTAGTTGGCTATACCCAGCCCTAGAGTTAAGAATATATTATTGCATAATTTAAGTCTCAGTGATCTGAAATGTGCGTGTTACAGTATGTCACATATAACAGAACACACACCATATGAACCTTATGAAGTCTGAAATGAAAGTTCACTACCGTGACGGGCCTTTTGACACAAAAACGAACACATTCATATAAAATGTGTATGTAAATGTCTGCTATCACACTCAAACACTCCCACATCCTCTTTCATGAGTCTCAGTTGGTGAATATTTACAAAGAAGCTTGATACACCCACCCTACCAGCCAACACACACACACACACACACACACACACACAGTTCATGTGGCAAGAGTGCAAGCTGAAGAACAAAACTCACAGGTTCACAGACAGCCATAAATCTTTGTTGTGTGTGTTGATAATACACTAAACACGTGTCATTTAGTGTGTTTGTGTTTGACTCACCAGCCGCCACTGCTGAGCACATGACAAAGAACATGCCCACAGCGATTCTCTTCAGAGAGGAGGGCAGCAGGCCTTTACGTTTGAGGATGGGGTCTACCACTTTATCCTTGAGGGGAATCAACATGAGGATCAGCACGGCATCAAACATGGTCAGCCAAGCCGCTGGGAAGCGAAACGATTGCTGAAAACAAAAGGGGAATATAATGAGTCATGTTGCAGGACACTAGAGGATGAATAAACAGGAATCAGGGTGTGTGTAGGTCACTCATAACACTCAGGTGCTTCGTTCTTCTCCATTTGTCCTCCATTGAGAAAATAAGTACAAGCCTAAATGGGAATTATGGGAGGGCATATGAGAAAGAAAGAGAGATAGCAGGAAACCAAATCATTCCAGCAACCTTAGCGCCCTCATGTGGCCAGTGCTGGTCTGTGGATGTAAAACCCATCCAGTAACTGACAGAGGGACAGGTCTCTTAATAGCCCATAAAATCATTACTCAATTGTTAAGTACTTTAATATCACATGGGGATTGAATACCATGCGTCAGAGCACCTGTTTCATAATGAATGGCTGATTGCTCCCCTCACATGCCACTGATGAGTGATGAAAACCCCATCAGAGGAAAGAAAGGGGAAAAAAGTGGTTGCTTCGGTGTTCTGAGAGGTTTTATTTCTGCGGAAAAAGATAATGAATGGTGTTTTCCTATGCAAAACCTAGGATGGTTCGGTAATAGTGATAGATTTAGAAATTTGGACTATTTTGACAGAGAAAAAAAATTGCCTTAATAAGGAAATAGATTTTACATGAAGAAAAAGAAAATGAGTCAAATGCAAAACTTGCTGCCAGGAGGTTGCTTAGTCTTTGCTTAAGTGTCCTAAGCAGTTTTAAGCACATTGCTATGCGCTTGCTAAGGTCTTCTGGGTGTTTTTTTAAATGTGTCACTATAGGTGATTTCCATTCGACAGAAAGTACCCTTTGAAGTCCACTTTGCAGGGAATTCTGCCATCAAATGTGAGAATCTAATCCAAAGGGAGCAAACAAGTTCAGTTCGAAGGGTAAGGGGCAGCATAGGGAATAAGGGAACATCGATACATCACTGCACAGGAAGTGGAGAGGGAAATTTACCCACCAGTCACTGTGCATTAGTATGTGTGAATAAAATAAAGGCGCCGGTTAAACTAAGATGAGCGTCCAGTGTTATTACGGGATTTAATTAGTCCCAGTTGTACCGGTAGTTTGTATGTGGTTGTTTGCGGGTATTAAAAAAAAAAAAGAAAAAGTGTGTGAGATTGAGATGTAACAGTAACAATACAACTATCATGATTATGGCCACATAAGAGAAGATACATCTAATATAAACAAATTATGTTTATTCACATATTAAACGTACATTGCAATATGCAATTATCACTCAGTTTAGCATTTTCAAATATGACAGTTTTCATTCAATTAATACAAAATTATATTTATATTATAAATACACATGATGTATTATATACACACACATGTATATCACATGAACGTATTGTAATTTATATTTATTTACAGGAGAAGTATATTATGTCATCATAGCTTCAACTTCTTTAATATGCACAAGTCACGACTCAAGTGTCATCAGTTCGATGACTTTGCAGGGTGTTCCAAATGAATGCATTTGTCAAATGAAGTGAAATTAAACAAATATCCTTTGCTCAGTGAGTAGGGATCAGTGAAACACTGCCTATGGACTCTGTCAGTCAGAACTTTTGTTGTTGCTATGGTATTATGGGTGGATGCCAGGGGGTTGCTATGAAGTTGCTAAGGCTTTAGGTGTTCTTGATAACTGGCCCAAGTCAACAACAAAAAAAAAGCCCAGACCCAAATATCTATGTTTGTCTTAATACATTTTTATTTTCATGTCTTTCAGCTATTTTCTCATCCTCTAAGCAAAAATCATACATTAAAAGGGTAGATCACCCAAAAATGAAAATTAAGTCAATTTAGTTTTAATGCAAAATGCCATTCTTTTTTTTTCAAACCACCAAAGGAGAATTTTTTTTTTTTTAAAGATCCCACTCGCACTCATCCATATAATGGCTTGTAAAAAAAAAAAAAAAAAAAAAAAAGTATCACAGATTGATCCCATGCGACATGTCGTATATTCCAAGTGTTCTGGGGGTAAAATAAACCCTTAAATTTAATAGTGTTTGGTTTAAAAAAAAAAAAAAAAAAATGTGTTGCATCAGGTTATTGCTTCCACATCTGTCAACTGTCATTCTGACTATCATCAGACAAACGGCATTCCGATCCAGATATAGTACCGGTAAACTCAGTGAAGAAAGCAAACGGATCCTTTTTTGGGGGGATTTCTATGGGTAGCACTTTATGGTAACACTTTATTTCAAAGTGTCCTTGTTACATATGTTACATGTACTTACCACAGTAGTAAGTAAATTATGCATAATTACATGCAAAACCTCAACCAAATCCTAATCCTACCCTAACCCTACAGTAAGTACATGTTGTTAATTAATATTACTCAGTACTTAAATATATAATTACACTGTAACAATGACACCTTAAATAAAAGTGTAACCCACTTTATTGTACAGTCCTGGTCCACATGTCATGTACCTACTACGTGCTTATTATTGCAATTATAATAACTGGGTAATAACTAGGTACTAACCCTGAACTTACCCCTAAACCTAACACTAACCTATGCAGTTACCTTGTACCTTGCCCAGACTGTAAGTACAGTGCAGGTAATGTTAAATAAAGTGCAACCTTTCTGTGCATTGTATTTCATGTTGCGTTTTTATTAGGGCTGTCAAACAATTAATCACGATTAATCGCATCCAAAATAAAAGTTTGTGTTTACATAATATATGTGTGTGTACTGTGTATAATTATATTGTATATAAATGCACACATGTATATATTTAAGAAAAATATGTTATTTATATATAAAATGTTTATATTTATATAAAATATACATTATATATAGGCTACATTCAGTCTATATACATGCAAATATTTCTTAAATACACATGCATGTGTGGGTATTTATGTATTAAAAATAATTATACACAGTACACACACATATATTATGAAAAACACAAACTTTTATTTTGGATGCGATTAATCGCGATTAATCATTTGACAGTCCTAGTTTTTATTCATCTTGGTTTCTCACTACTTGTGCTTTTTTTGAGCGAGTCCGAGTGCTTATAGAGTCTCATGAATACCCAGCCATGCACAGACGAACAGCCAAGCTCTGGATTTTCGTTAAATAATACGTAAATTTCAGTTTGTTTGTTCACCAAACCCTATCATATACCTCCAGAACACTTGGGAATATACGACACGTGTTGCATGGGACCATTCTGTGGTACTTTTGCACCTTTTTTAGAAGCTTGATGCTGGTCGCTATTCCCTGCCATTATATATCCAGGGTGCATATACAGTACAGTATGTTAGCCTCGTGAGACCATTCAACGGACGAGCTTTCAAGGTTTCACTCGCAGATCAGTCTGGATACTTTCCGTTAAAGAAAATTTGGGAGCAGTTCACCAAACGAACGTCCAATCAGCGTTGGCTTTGAGGCGGGTTGAGGTGTGACGCAACGAGAAGCGCGTCAGTTCAGTCTAAAGAACATGTCGGCTTCAGCGGATGAAACTAGCATCAGCGTGGCTATCGAGCAAGTTTTATCGGAATTACAGAGTATTTCTTCACTGAAAGAAGAGCAAAACACTGCTCTGGAGGCTTTTCTCAGAGGAAAAGATACGCTCTGTTAGTACGTCATATGCTTCGTTGATCTGATTGGTTGAATTGGCCCGTCTATCACCAACATAGGCCAATCAGCTAACCAGTATTTTTCGCCCCTTACCAAAACTACTTCAACGGAAGGTTTCCAGATGGATATGCGGAGCAAATCCATCTGGCGGAGTCAGGTTAACAGTATGTAGCAGGTGTGAGTCAAATGTGTGGTCAAATTCACCAATGAGGGATTGACCAATTTTAACTCTGATTATGAATATTTTCACTTTGGAAACCATCTGTCCTCATTTCCTGCACAGACAGGGCTTGATGATACGACTGAGCAGATGTGGGTAGATGCTGTACGCATGTAGCAAAAGTTAAAAACAGCCCAATCCATTCTTGTCTTGGTCTGATTGGTTGTAATTAATTCGAACATACTGCACAATATGTCGCCTATGTCGTTTAATTGACGTTAATCAAATAATGCCTGTGAAATGCAACACCAGAGGACTAGATGCCCGGAGCTCAAACAGAGGTTTATTATGCATCCATGCCTGCAGGTGTGTATGGGCATATCACACACACATTTACACCTCCAGTGGAGTATCAGGCGGTTAAGTGGAGAGCGTATCTCCCTCAGCATGTTTGAATTTAATTCAACAGCTTCTGTCAGTCCCCAATCTACCGGCACTTTTAATACTTTTAATTCTCCAGCTTACTCCCTCATTACATTTACATTTCTTTGACTAAGCATTGGTAATTTATACATGTCCCTCCGAGCGCTCGGTCTCCCCTTCATCATCGTGCACTTTTAAATACTTTTTTCTCCATTTGAAATTGCCAGTTTGCATCATTCTATCATCATATCATTTTCACCCACATTACTGGTGTCTCGTTCTCTCTATGGGTATCTCCTAATTAAGAGCTCACAGTTTGGCCTTGTTAAGACTGTGCACTGTATTCCCTTTAGGCTGCGCGGTCCACAGAGTCAAATCTACGGCAGCACATGTTCATTTAGAAGGGGGGACCCTTGTGTGTGAGAGAATGAGCAACAGATGGGGATTTGCAAACTGGAGTATGCACTCCAGAGAAAAACTCAGGACAGAATGAAATTACTTGATTCCTATTGAAACAGGAAGTTGGGGTAGGACCTACATTTTTGAGTCATCAATATTTTTGTTCTGTTTTCTTAGAACATTTCATTGCCTTGGTAACGCAAGACTTTACAGATGTATGAGGCGCAAAATAGTGGCCGCGATATGGAGGATGATCAGGTATTTCTTTTAAGTGTATTATTAATTTAAATTTTATGATTGTTTACTTCGATCCAATAGTGCGCTTGGCCAGCTACGGAGAAACTGTTAGCCAGGCAACAGACAAGCGACCAATCCCGAGTGGAGCCATCACTACACGTATTCTATCAGCACAGTTCAACGCGGT